GGTTGATCGTTGATTTAATACGTGCGACAGATATATATATTTATATATATATACAAGCAATGCAAATGGATCGTTGTCACCTTCGCAAAAAATCAATAACCTATAAATTGTCATAACTAAGCTGCACAATAAGATACAAAATTGTTATTGGGTTCAACGAATCTCATTATGGAGGGGTATCTATGGAATTTTGAATAAATTGGCGTGGCCTCGTCCCCTAATAGGTTTAATGGATATACCTCGAAAACCATTAAAGCTACATATAACACCCAAAGTTACACAGGACAAACCTTTCGACACCTCACCACACTGTCATATGTGAAATTGGATTATAACCTTGCTCACTTCCCATATAACGGTTCGTTGAGAACTAATAAGAATGCTATAAATCAATAATCAAATGTGTCAAAAGCAGTAAATCCAGGATGGTATAAAAGGGTTTATAGAAGCCAGCGTGGCACAGCAYACATTTTGGTGAAATCACAAATCTCCAGACTTAGTCGACCAAACTCGGTCCGTACATTCTAATGACACAGTGCTATTTTAGACAAAAGTAATTTCCCATGAAATGTAATTTTAAATTCCAGCTAAGGTTTTTTGCGTGTATTGAAATAAAGCACAAACGAATATATCGTTTAAATAGAAACGGAAGATGCCGACCTCAGTTCTTATGGCTGACTTTCACCAAAAATACCGGTAAACGTGTGAGATATTTAATTGATTTTGGGAAAGAATCTTTTCCTAATAATAGTCTTTAGCCCCATATACCTAATATGATATTTGAGAGACGTTACCAAGGCCAGTATACAGCTTTTGAAGGAAGGGCTAAGTTCGGATGCAACCGAACATTTTATACTCTTGCAAGTTGCAAAAATCAAAGCCGGGGAAATACTTTAAGTCGCTTAACGTTAACCAGAGGATCGAAATCCAAGGAATTTTATATATGCGTACACTATATATAAYTTATACACTGAGTAAAACATACGGTTTTTAGGAAAATGGGAGTAGGGATAGTAACGACAGAATTTTACCTATTTTCCCAATTACCAAATACTATTAACATGCCTCATACTAAAAAACCAATCACATAGAGTAAAGACTGCCGGATGTTCGAAAATACTCATATTAGTTTATATGGGCTAGGTCAAGTTTTCGCTCGAATTTATTTATTTTGGGCTCAAAGATGCACTGTTTTGAGTAAAACACGTTTTGCAAATGACATTGAGGTAAGTTAAATATCGMAAATCTTTATATTAGGTACTTAGGCGCTTGAACAGTTTTAGTTGATTTCTGACAAATTTTGTTCATACTGTGGCATACATTAATCATTCCTGAAGTTTGATCTCCTTATATTAATAGTTTATTGATTTGTGTATTGGAATGTAAAATAATCAAATGGAGTTTAAAATTGTGTTATAAGGGAAGTAGGCGTAATTCTAGTCCGATTTCACCCATTTACGCAATTAATATAGTCGAAATCAGGCAAATCAGTCCCGAGACATAGGACTTTAACTAAAAACTTAAAAACTTTACACCGGCACCCACAAAACCCTCACATATCCTCTCGAATGTAAAATATAATCTCTCAKGCGTATTTAGTTATTGATTTATTGCGCCTTTAGTAGTTTTGAACAGTACCGTCATATGGAGAGTGAGCGGGTTTATCTTCCGATTTCATTCATTTTCACACACTCCGTAAGAGTTTCTTTTTGATATTTGTACTCAGAAAATTTAGTTGTTGTACCTTTAGTTGGCGGGAATAAGCCCATTTTTTAAAAAATGTTCGGCCATAGGTGGCCCTTGCTATTGTGATTCCCTGTCCCAAGATTGAGCTTTATATCTTAATTTAGTGTTATGGTCCTTAAGAGGTTTTCAGTTAATGCCGTTTTGTGAGCGTGACAGTAGAACTGAGAACTCTATAAAAACTCTTATTCCTAAACGTTTAGTCTCTTTTAAAATGTGTATTGTAAAATAAATTCTAAATGGACGATCGGTATCTTATATTTACATATATCTTGCAGAGGCGGATCCAGAGACGATTCTTGGGAGGGAAATTGAATTTATCTTTCGATTTGGAACGATTTGGAGAAAGAACGTTCAGAGCTCGCGTTTGTTACGGGAAGTGTACAGAATACTCGGAAATAGGTGTGGATTGTTGGGAATATGTCGACATCACATTTTCTTAATGTTTCCAGTGCAGAAGTTGGAATTTCGCTGCCTTCAATTTTTTGTTGCTACTGCCAGTGACATTGCCAGTAGCTGAATTCACCTTTGAATTTAAATTTTTGTACGCTTTTTTCATCATCCAGAAGATTCCGCAGAGGTATGTAGACAGAGACCCTGTAGTAATCTTCGCAAGTTTTCACGTCGTAATTTTCGCGTTTCGTTTGTCGACCAAATGTTCTCGGTTTCGCTTCGTCAACATCGAGCCATTTTCTTGGCTTCTGAATAAATCAATCGGAATATTTCATCACCTTTTTCCCTCTTTTTTCCAACGTGGCAAGCAACGTCCCAATCATTTTTGATGCCTTCGCCAAATCAATTGCGTCCTGTTGAAGACCTACGCTGAGCGAATGGGTGAGCGATAGAATGTCGCTKAGACAGAAGAGCCCGACAAAAAATTCGAACTTGYACAAAGCCGATATGACAATTGTTGCTTTGCTTCTGTTTCTCTGTTCTTCCACTCACTGATTTTTCACGGAGCTGCGATGACGGTAACTTCGCAACAAAAAATAAAGGACAGCATCGTGTCTCTCTACCCATCTTGTTTCACACAACTGGACAATTTTTTTACCAAGCATCTTTGGTAATTCCGTCACACGTTTTGGAAATGAGTTCTTGAAGAATTTGTCGACTTCTCGTATGGCACTGACAACGTTTTCGATTAATCGTAATTTCACTGACTTTGTAATAGACAATTAAATAAAAAAATTATAAGGGACAATTTTCCAATGGTTGTAATGGCCTTCAAGAGGGTCGAGTTTTTACCACGATAGATTTATCGAACGGATTTTTCCATGTGTCAGTAGATTCACAATCTAGGAAGTTTACCGTTTTCGTTACTCGCAATCGTCAATATGAGTTTTGTGTTGTTCCATTCGGTATTTCAAACTCACCAGCTGTCTTTTGTCGTTATGTTAATGCTGTTTTCCGGGCCCTAAACCAGAATCGAACCGTAATTACATATATGGACGACTTGATTATCCCCGCAACAGACGAGGTGGAGGGTATTGAAAACATACGAGAAGTTTTAGAAGTTAGCGAGTCCTACGGGTTAAGGATTAAATGGAAAAAATTACAATTTCTTCAACGAAGCGTTGAATTTCTGGGGTACATAGTGGGAAATAGTACCACAAAAGTATCGGAAGAAAAGACGACTGCTGTGGAAAAGTTTCCGCTTCCGTCCGACAGAAAAATGTTACAAAGGTTTTTGAGGTTGACGTCATATTTCCGACGTTTCGTACTGGACTACGCAACGATGTCAGACCTTCTAAGAAAAGATTCGGTTTTCAAGTTAGGCGAAGAGCAAGTCGCAGCATTTCAACAATTAAAGGCTATTTTACAAAAAGCGTCTATATTACAGTTATTTTCGCAAAAAGCAGCTACTGAGGTACATACAGATGCTAATAAATGGGGGTATGGGGCAATACTGTTACAAAAAGGTTCGGACGATCAGCTTTTACATCCGGTACAATACATGAGCCGGAAAACAAAGCCGGTGGAAGAGAATTATCCGGCGTATGARTTAGAGGTACTGGCAATCATAGAGGCCTTAAAGAAATGGAGAATATACCTATTAGGTATACACATCTAAAATTTATATTTAAATAAAACCAGTTACATCCTACGGAATCATCTCCGCTCAGGTGGGCATAACTTGAATCTTTTTCGGCGAGATAAACGGATTTAAATGAAACGTCGCCATGCGTTCGAGTGTTTTTATACTCAATAGTACCAATTGTACAGTATGAGACATATATGCCCGCATAGATATCAAACCTATGGGGCATTCGATAGTCGCAAACGGCACGGTCAGTTGATACACTATAGATACATACATTTTATATGAATATGTATGTTTTTATTATTAATAACTTTTATATTGTTTATTGATATAATCATTGAGTTATTCATATAAAACTTTAAAATTTATTATCAAATCGATATGTACATACATACTTACATATGTATGTTCATATATGCATATCAAAGGCGGAAGTACTATTTTAACTAGATACAAATACTTTTAAGATTGAAATTATAATTTATTACATAAATTTTGTAGGAAAATAAAAAAATGTAAATAAAATAGAAACCTGTAGATAAATATTTAATTATTGATAGCGATTGGCGAAACAATTTGTCSGTTTTCACTATTAAGTAACGCCTATTTTAGAATTGATCGCAAGCGATTCTATTCACCATGCAGTGGGCTTAATTGTGAACACATAATAAGTTATTTATAGCCTCAAATTCTCGCCAATAGCAAAATCAATTGTATGAGGGTGTGGTTAACAACAGCCAATCGAGTTTTACCTGACGCGAACGACAAGGATAGCTAAACTTGAAATGCTGACAGCTGCCAAGTAGAAGTAAAAGTGTTGGTAGAAAAGAAGCAATGTTGGTGATTTAATCTCTGTATATCTACATTGTCTTTAATCTCATTGGTGGCATTTAAATGAATGGTAGATGTTAGTGGAATTAAAAATGGCACCTGTAGTTTTAAAGCAGTCAAGGCAATATATGGGCTACCTTCTATTATAATAAACAGTTAATTTTGTTAAAGCTTCAAAGAACTTGGCATATACAAGTTTTTAGTGCTCTTTACATTTTTTTTATATAAATTAATCAAATTAATTAATTATTTACTGATCTTAACATAATATATTTACAAATTACAATGTAGCTTGTGTTTTATTTATATAGAAGTGTTCTCACATTGAATGGTGATTAAAATAATCATACTTCTAATAAGTTCTTATTGTAAGTGCTAGTTTATAAATAATGTTGCATTCATGGATTTGAAAGTTGCCTAAATATACACACGTAGGTGTAATAAAAAAAATTCTATAACATAAAAAATTTATTTAAACTATATCCGGTTTATTGTGTAAATATCTGAAAGCATTTTTTTGCAAAACAAGTAGCAAAATGGTTTCATACTACAATCCAATGACTTATTCCCAGAAACATAATCCAACTACTTTGAATTATCCGCCTGCACAACCATGGCAGTGGACGGCAAATTATTCTACGACACCAAATCATCAACTACTGAACGAAATGGAATCATCACATAACCATCATCAAGTATACTATAACACACATCATATGTTTCACCCAACTGGTGGTTCTACCGCAGAATGGCATTCTCCATTATCGACAACTGACAACTTATTACAAAGTACAAATGTGCAACAACTTATCAATGAATCAAATGATGGCACTGTAATAGGCAACAGTGCAAGTTCTTGTCGAAGTACTAATTCTAGTGGTCCATCTACAGTTGAGCTTGTTGGAATAAATGAATCTAGACGTAATGATCATATCACCGATGGGGTGCCATCCCCCACTTTAGTAACATCGGGGAGTAATGCCACCAGTCCCGATGTTTCCTTATCAACGAATTCAGTTCAAAATTCTTCAAATAATACTGTAACTGGTGTAGTAAATTCCGCCTATAATAACCACACATCTCCTGTAAAGACACAGTATTACGAATGGATGAAAAAACCTTCGTATCCCACTCAACCGGCTCCTGGTGAGTATTTTGCTCATAAAAATATATTTCATTTAAAATAACCTATGACCAATACACACAATCTATTTAATTTTTTGTGGAATTTATTTATAACAAATTTATATATTTTTAACTTATCAATTACATTCAGCTATTGTTGAAGAAGCAAAGGTTTATTATTTCCCCATATTTTTGTTGTATACTCTCACAACATGTTGCCCCAGAGTATAAAGTTTAGTCCACCTAACGGTTGTTTGTATCCGAATAAAAATTAAGATATCTTGATACACCTATTTTTTGGTACTAGAAAGTTGCTATCACAGACGAGAGGATTCGGAAGTTTGCCAATCCCACATATTAAGACACGAAACAGTAATTTTATACAAAGAAACGTATGTATTCCCGCTTCTAGTAGGTTAACTTTATACACTATAGCAATTCAATTCAATATCGTTATCAGACTGAATAACGAAAATTTCCTATGTGGCTGCATTTTAAAATGCAAAAATCCTCTTTTCTTTTTCAAAGACTTAGGAAGATGTCGTCTTCCCCTRTTAATGTAGTCTGATACTAAAATTTGAAAGAATCAGTACTTCCAGATGGCCCAAACCTACCTAGATGTACCATATTATAATAAGTATTTTGAATATACCAAAGAATAAAGCATAGTAATGAAACAGTTGGTATATCATAAGATACAAAATATGATAGTAATGCAATCACTATTTTGCTAATAATAAATGTCTAATTCATGTGAAAGATTTGTTTTAAATATTTCAAGACAGTTTTTTTTTGGAATTTGTCAAGCTTTTTATTTTTAATTTTATTAGAAATACTTCTCCTTTTGTTTGCTGTGTAAAATTGTCGCCCTCGAATTTGTTTAAAGTCCGCTTTTACATAGCATTCATCGTCCATTACAACGCAGTTAAAATTAGACATGAACTTTTCATATAATTGCCGAGCACGTCCTTTTCCCAAAACATGATGGTTATCATTGCGGTTTGGTGCTGCATTCACTTTGAWGGAAAGTAATCAGTTTGTCTGCGTACTTTCTGTACATATGAAGGTGACATTTGCACTTTTTTGGCGACATCGCGTACTGAAAGTGCAGGTATTTGTTTCAAATAGGTCAACACTTTTTTTCTGCTATAAGTGGTGATTAAAATCCTTGTTTTCTACCACTACCGGCCTTTCTATTCAATGATAAGGAGTCACAGAATCTCTTAAGTACGAAAGATACCGAAGATATTGCAATTTTTAATTTTTTGCCAATTTCTAGCTTTTTGTGCAAAACCGATTCACGAACGTGTATATTCATTGCTGAAAAATTTTACACTAACCATATTTTTGTAAAGATAGATAAAGTAAACTTTGCGTGTAAATTTGAATTTTGATTTTACTATTAGAAATTTCTAAGTTGTGCGGATTTCTATATGACCAGTGTTTTTCGTGCACATACTTTATTTTATGAACTTAAAGGTTATTTCGGCACAGCGATTTTTAAATACTTACAAGTTTCTTCATTAATTCAATGAATTGTACCTATAATTTATATCTATAACATAATAAGTAAATTATAGAGTCTGTTAATGCACACTTCCTTTAATATTCAAAACTTTTACTATAATGAATTTCAATGACTCAAAATACTGAATATGATAATAAGATTTTTGATTTTAAAGTTTGGTATTATTATGTATCGGATGTCTTGTTTATTTTTATTAGCATTCGTATCGCATGGTCAAGGAAATTTTCTTTTATACCTTGCATGAAATATATCTGAGATAACCCTTAGCGTCATAACAAACTTGACGTTTGGAAATGCCCTTGCTATTAACATAAGTACAACCAAACTGGTTTTATTCAATAGGAGATATAAACTCATATTGGAGCAGAGGGACAAGCTTGGGCAGAAGGTTTTTAGGTGAGTCTACTGATGGGAGCTATTCATCAATACTAGTTTAAGACTTCCTGACAATTGTAACGTTTTTCAAACTGAGGTTGCCGTAATCAAGATATCAGTTTATCTACTGCAGCCACTTTGATCGCCAAGACGAGGCGAAGACATCTCAACACTTACTTCCTAACTTTTTTACGTGATCAAGGCTAAAATACCTAAAATCTTGAAACTGCAGAAATGATTCCTCGCAAAAAATATTTGAGCAGAGCCCATGCCTACTGTTTTAGGTAAACTATTAAAATTTATTTGAATATTGAAGTTTTTAAAATCCATAAATAAATACATTTACTTACACATGTTTTACAATAGTTTCTAATTTAAGCAGAACAAGATTTGGTAAAAATAACTCTTGAATCAAATTCAACCCGATAACTATGTTGTTGCTTTATAAGTAAATTCTTTGACAAAAGGTTTTCACACACAGATGGCAAAGCAGAAATATGGCAAATAAAAAACATCTTCTTTGTTGACATTGCGCGCAATTTTTATAGTACAAGTATTATCGGCGTATGACTGCTAGTCTTTGCTCCTACGTACAGTTTGAAAAAATGCTCGCTATGGATTTTATAGGTGAGATAGTTAGATTTCACGTAATAAATTCCAGTGCTCAAAACTTAGACTTAGACTTAGTGTTGAAAAATAATCAATAGAAAACTTATAAAAAGAATATAATCAAATGCGTCAGAAACAAAAGTTATTATCATSTAATATACAAGAAGAGTATAAAAATTAAGAATTTAGGACAATTCACAGGACTCGACTATTGCATTATTTCTCAATATTCGTATCAGTTCTTAATGCTTTTTAAAGGGTTGAAGCTATCAAACAATATATGTCTATGACCAGAATATTTAAATACAAAACTAATCGATATACACATGATATATAGTTATATATGTAAAAATGGTATATCAGGACGAGATTGGTTGAATTCCTGAAGCTATTTATTCGTTCGGATCATTTCCATGCTCACAAAAATTCCACGCCGTTTAAAATGCAGATATTATAAAAGCACACCAGTCGTTCTTCCTTTTAACTTTTAATTCACTACACTATGTCAATGTCGTCGAATAACTCATACAGTTGGATCGGATGCGATATTCYCCGTAGCCAATGCGCAATGGTCCATAAATCTTTCGCACAATCTTTCTCTCGAAAACTTGTATCGTCGACTCCTCAGATGTTGTTATCGTCCATACCTCYGCACCATATAGTGGGACAGGAATAACGAGTGACGTATAGATTTTGGACTTTACTTCTCAATTGCCTACTTAGTCCCAAGTAGCCTACTTAGTCAGCAAGTATACGACTTCAAAGTTATGACTGTTAGCAGTGATGTGAGTGCCTAGTCGCGAGTGCGACGACTATTTGTTTGATGACAGGAGATATTTCGTCTTGCCCTCTTTCACTACCAGAACTATTTGCTTCGATTTCTTATCCATTCTGGAAAAAGCAGAACTAAGGTCGCGGTTGTTGAGCCCAATGATAACAAAGTCATAGGCATACGCCAGCAGTTGTACACTCTTTGCAGCTCCAATTATTTCCTCCAAGAGTAGATTGAAAAAATCGCATGAAAAGGATTCGCCTGGCCTGGTTTGGTATCGAATGACTCAAAGAGGACCTTCCCTATCCTGACGGAGCTTTTGGTATTGCTCAACGTTAGTTTACACATCCGTATTAGTTTTGCAGGGATACCTAATTTGGACATCGCGGCATAAAGGCAGCTCTTTTCGTGTTGTCAAAAGCAGGTTTGACATCTTTTCCAAGATTTGACGCATGGTGAATGCCTGGTCAATCTTTCACACATCTCGATAGAACCTGATGTGCTCTAACTATGCAAAAGATTTAGATAGAAAGTTTAATTAGGAAGAGAGAATTAACCGATAATATGTATGTATATGCTTATTATAGAATAAGTAAAAAAAGATTTATAATGTTTATTTTTAAATATGTGTAATATTTAAACTAATTTAAGAGGACTGCCGATTCTTAAAGATAATTAACTGAATTGGTGCATACTTTGGCATTGTCTTGCACTCTAATTGTAGAAATTTGAGACTCTGTTGCTTTACTCATGCCCAATATATTACATTTCGCTTTTTCATTGATCTTATATGGCATTTATATCACTTTTATGATAAATATGTGGTTTGTGTTACTAAGATTGACTTTTAGGCTAAACGTAATAAGCCCTTAAGCGTTTCGGCCATTGATTAGTAACATATCGCACAGTTACTGTTGGTATTGACGAAGTTGTTTCCTTAGTTGCATGATATTACAGGCTATTAGTTATGTGGGGTCCAGGGAAAGTTTTCACTCGATTTTATGAATTTTAGGCACGAGGATGCCAGATTATTAGAAAACATGCTCACTCAATTTCATTAAGATAACTCACATATTTGCCGATAGATGCAGTATAAAGTTAACCGGAAGCTCAAAAATCATGCATAAGCTTTAAGGAACCAGATTGCTCAAATTATCGCGAACAGGAGCTCCTCAGGGGGTGTAATTTTACCTCTCACTTGCAGCAAATCAGCTCCTGAGKAAATTTTAAGAAAATGCATGATGAATAATCATACACCAATGGATAACATCGGTTAACCTACAGGCAAATGCTGATAAAACGGATACGGTACTTTTTACAATGAGGTAAAAGATCCCGCCATGAAAAACCTAGAGGATCAACGGGGATGAGTTAACCACTACTACTACTAGTTATTTTGGATAGGAAACTGACGTGGAAACTCAATGTGGAAGAAAGGGCAGTGGTGCCTTCTACCTATGTAAGAAAATGTTGCGGTCAACGTGGGGCCTATCACAAGTTCTTATGCACTGGTGTTAGACAAGAGTATTCAAGACAATCTTACTTTACGGTGCTTTGGTATGCTACATCGATTCTATTAAAATGTCATACAGGAATGTGATATCACCTCAATGTGGCCGGTACCACGCCCATCGTACAATTTTTATACTGTCTCCTATAAAGGCCTCTTGTATCATCCTTTTAATGCCTCTGGAGCAGTAAATTATTGATTTATCGGACTTTTAGTAGTATTTAACA